GGGGGGGAGAGATAAAAAACAGGAGAGGGGAAGGTTATGGCAGCAGGTTGTACACTGATGCCTTTGTCTCGTGGCTGGGACACTGAGTTCACTGAGCTGTAATTCTAAGTAGACATGTATGGGAACCAGTCTAAAATAACTGTGTCTAAAAATAACAGCAGTGACTCCCCAGAAAACACTCCACGGCCCCCTTGGAGGTCCTGACCCCCAGGTTAAAAACCAGAGCTCTAGTGTGTCTAAAACTGAATCCATAAAACTGTGGTCAGTGTTGCAAATGAGTGGTCCAAAAATATTATATAAACTTTCATCTAGTATTTTTGTTTTATTTACTTCATTTATCTGCTTTTATTACATCATTTTTGCTATTTTGGAATTTCATCTTATATTCTGACTGGTATAATCTGCTGCTAGTGACTGTGTGCTGCGTGACCACCAGAACAGTGACATATACATTTTTATGTTAGATAACTAAATCATGCCACATCATTTTTACTAATTTTGGAAGTTTATTACCCCATGTGAAGGCTATCAACAGAATTTAACTGAAATAATCTTGAAATGCTTTAACTGAAGCACTGAGAAAAACTGCTTCTTAAAAAAACCAAAACAAACCCTTACCTTGTGGGGCTGTCGTCCTGAACAGCCACAGGAGGCTTGTCAGTTAGCTTCTGTGGAGCAAACTGTGGGGAAGGGGATCTTGATCTCTCCATCCCAGGCTTCAGCTGGCAGCGATATGCTGAAGACCGTGCAGGTTGAGATTTGAGGTGTGTCTTTTCTTCTAAGTGCTGAGAAGCATTTTCTGCCGTCGCTGATTGTGGAAGATCTGGCAGTTTGGTGCTTGTTAATCTGCCAGAAATCTGTACAGGAGTCGGAGAAGATGAGGAGCTAACTGCAGCCGCGTTGGTGGCAGGAGGAGAGAGCGACTGAACAGTCCTTTTGGGCACTGTTAATAAAGACTCTGAGGAAGCAGCAAGTGAGGCCGAAGAATTTTCCTGTCGCCTGTAGTTACTCTCTCGTTTGGGAGGAGGAGGAAGCCTTTGAGGCACAAGGCCATGCTTCCCATTTAGCAGCTCTGGATCTCCTTGCTGGCTTTCTTCTCCTTTGCCTTGTGTTGGATAGAAGTGGTTCTCATCTGATACATGTAGCTCAGAAATTGCAAGCGGCAACACACCGTAATCGTTGTTTTTTTCATTTACATCTTCCTGCAAATACATGTAGTCACTGGGAAATGTCCCAGATCTTCCTCGGCTCCCTGGAGATGCAGCTGTGGTTTGCCCTGCAGCTGCAGGCCTAGCAGAGGCCTTCCATTTGTTTCCTAAACCGTAACCTTGGTAAGCTGTGGGATCTCCAGGATGTCCTTCTGGATATTGTATATCACCTGGCCTAGAGAAAGGTTGGGAAGAATTACCAATGTTACTACCTGTATGTCCGTAATATCCAGAATCCTTGAGAATTCAAAACCATGCATTTCGGGGTGATGTTTAATGGCCCAATAAAGGAATTACCCCAACCTTGATTCTTTTCAGTGTATAATATGCACCCTGCTGCCCCAAGAAACATATATTCAATTACCTATAGGTAAAGGTTCCCTTTGACAATTTGTCCAGTTGTGTTCAACTCTAGGGGGCGGTGCTCATCTCCGTTTCCAACCCACAGAGCTAGCATTTGTCCGAAGACAATCTTTCGTGGTCACGTGGCCAGCGCAACTAGACATGGAACGTCATGGTGTACCCATTTATATACTTGCATTTGCATGCTTTTGAACTGCTAGGTTAGCGGGGAGCTGGGATTAGCGACGGGAGCTCACTCCGTCGCGTGGATTCGATCTTATGACTGCTGGTTTTCTGACATTGCAGCACAGAGGCTTCTGCGGCTTAACCCGCAGCGCCACCACGCCCCTTCAATCACCTATAAACAGCACCAAATTAAAAAACACACCAACCTTCCCCAACCTTGCCTCAAGATCTGCTGGCCTATAATTTCCATCCTCACCTTCCAGCATGTCAACTGTCCTGGGATGAATGGTCTTGTAATAAGGGAGAAAAAGTACTTACAAAGCAGCTGCAAGAAATCTGTCCTGTGTTTTTAATAAAATGGGATGATTCAAACTATAGTGTCAGGGTTGATTAAGGTTATGCACTGCTATGCAACGTGACATAACTTTGAGTTAACCTCAAGCTTCTAACAAAAATAGAATTATTGGATCTTCTGCATGTGAATTAAAAGAGTTGGAAAACAATGGACTTGGTATCAAATTATAAAAGGATAATTCTAACAAGTATTGCCATTTCTATGCTACATTTCCATTCAAACTACAAGACTACATTAGGTTTTCTAAAAGGGATTCAGATGGTAAGGTTGGATTACCATGTTGACACATACAACTACACTGTAATACCAATACAAAACCCAGATTTGATGGTGCTAAAGGTTCTAGACAGTGAAGAAAATGCATACATTTTTTCCTAAAATGGAAATTTAATGTGGCAATATTTGGGATTAAAGCCAAATTGACCTAAACTGAATGTCAGTGTCCTTAGGTATAATTCAGAAATTCTTAGGGCACACTCCTAGGACATATATGGAGGTGTGTGGAAACAGTGCTTGGGCCACTTGTGTATAAAGGACATCCCAACTGCACATCCCATTCCTTCTCAATCTTTGGATGATAGGACTACTAATTCTTTATTTAAAATTATGTTTAGACCATTTCTTCCATAGTATCTCCTGGAAATCTGTAGGAAGTAGATTCCACAGGCTTCCTTTGCTGTGCACTTGAATGGAACACCATACTGCACACATGCATTTCTGTAAGATACCTTGTTTTCTGTAATTCATTCTGGTATTAATCAAGGGCCTACAAACAGCATTGAAATGACAGCCGTGGCCTCTGGTAATCTCATTCTGCCACTGCACTATCTGCTAGTACACTGGCAGTGTTCTCTAAGTGTTCATCAGCCATTTCCTAGAGATTTGAAAGCATGGACTCATAAGGGCTAGAGTTTGCTGAAAATACAAATGAAAGCTGAATTTTTCAGGAAATTGAGTTCCGAATATGATAGTCTCATATCATGCTCACACAACACAGCTTCAACCAATAACAGGGCTGTCATCTAATGAGACAAGGTGAATACCCTTAGTTGAGCAGGAGCTATTGGGGGGCAACCTCTTCCAAGGGAGGCTCTCCACTGCCAGTTCACTGGAGCAACTAGGCAACAAAGCTCTCCCACTTTGGCAAGTGATGCAACTGAGAAGCAGCCAAGTACAGTAGCTGCACATTCAGTGTCTCACTCTGAGCAAGACAAAAGATCCACCTGGCAGCTTTCAACCCAATGTTTTGCTAATAATATCCTTAGGGAGTTCAAAAAGGGGCTGGTGTGGTTCTTGAGACAGCAGGCCAGCCCCAAAGGTCTGGAGAGGAGTCTTACCTCATAGCCTGGCACTGTGGGTAAAAGGTTCTCAGAGGGAAATGGGTTGGATGACAATGGCGATTAAAGGGCAGGGACAGCGATGGAGGGCAGTGGAACATGTCCTCCTGCCTCAGCTGACCATCAGACCAGCAATAGAAATAAATGCCCTTCTCTGTGGGGTTTCGAGAACAAAGCTAGTCAGGAACCTCCTAACAATTCTTCCTAAATACATTATGTTCTTACATACTCTTTAAAATCCTGTTTTATAAAAGAAAGAGGCATGAGGTGCACGGCACTTATAGGGTTATACTTTAGTGCAAATATTATATAAATAAAAAGTCACATGAAGAATTAAACATTTAAGGGACGGACAAGGTGAAAACAATTAATTAATCACATTAATAGTATTAATACTTAGTAGTATTTCACTAAGTCGGGCAGTCTAGAAGCTCAATAAACAAACAAAAAAATCTCTCAAAACCAAGAACAGAAATAAAAAAAGGAATGAAGGACTGAACAGTATTATGAGAAAAAATCATGATCGTTTTATAATTTTTAAACCAAAGCGATTTGGTGATTTAGGTTTGAAGAGAATTTAGTTTCTGAAAACGTACTTCCTAAAGTATTTTAGTTAAGAGAACTTGAGGGCTCTTTACTCTCCCCTTTCTTTTAAACCAAAGAGAAGGAAAGTTGAAGCAAAGTGGACCAAGTGTGAACGTGTGAAAGCTGTGCATTTTAGCTTTTCAAGTTGATATTTAATAATCTAAACAAAGCTGCTATAAGTTCAAAGAGACTTTTTGTGAGAAAGGGAGGAGACAGGCAAACACTCTAAAAATGCGAAGTACCTCTGAGACCCAGAAAGTAGGGATGCTTGCTCTCTAATCAAGGGAAGTTAAAGAGATACTATGAGCTGGGGGGGGGAAGGGGTGCAACAGAAATTCAGGAGTCTTAGCAATTCTTCTTGTTCCAGGTTCATCAACACAGCATGACCAATAGTCAGACATTTCAAAATTCAGTACCAAAAAATAACTTCAAAAGGTGATAGCAGTATATATTTTAGTTTCTGAATATCTTCAAACGTTCCAGGGCATACCAATTGACAGAATTTCTGCTGCATTTTTGACTATATGGTTATGCAAGGGTAATGAAAACAGGAAATTCAAGGGACACTTCCACACTAAAAAAGAAAGATATTTAGCATCTTGGCATGCAACTATGAGAAAGACCTGCTAAGAGGTCAGAAGGACAATATGTGCAATTCACAAGGCATGCTCGACAAAGACATTCCATCTACTTCCAACTCAATCTTTTAAATAGCCATCCGTTTCTACCACAGTTGTTGATAAAGGAGCAAAATTCATATAGTATTCTTATAATCAGCAGTGCAGTGGATCCAGGGCTTGTGGAGTCAGAGCATAACTCTTTTTGATCAGCAGGGACCATTACAGAATCTGCTCCCTCATTTTCAGGCTTCTCTATGAGCTTAGCTGCAAGCTTCACAGTAGCTGTGCCAGGGACAATGAATGTTCCTAGCCACAACAGATTGTTGAATGCTGTTTCTGCTGCTTGAGATTGCTTGTTCTTGAATAGAAAATCAAGACCCATCAGTTATACAATAAACCTGTTCCTGGTAGAGATGAAAATAGCAGAATGTCAGCTTTGTTGGTGCAGAACTTGTTTGGATGCAGAACATTCTGGGATCAACAAAACTATCTGGAGAGACATGTAGATTCATTTTGGGAGTATAGATACAGGCACCTGTCATGGTGACACCTGTACCTCAGATGTGGCACTACACACCTGGTTATAATTCAGATGATCTCGGAGATCAGTAAGACACCATTCAGGAGAAATTTCAAACACCTTTGGCAAAAACAGCAGACTGATGCTTATTATACTTAACACCAAAGGAAAAAAGGAAAACGTGAGCCCATACAGTGCAGAGCGTACATACATTACGGGTGGCAATTTCTCATGCAATACATGCTGGTCATATTACCCCTGAAGAGACTGGAGCTTACTGTTCAGGAAGGAGAAAGGAAAGCAAGCTTCAAGCACTAGAAGAACTCAGGAGAGAAAACCTGTAAAGTGTCATAGCAGTGTTAACTTCCAAAAAGTCCATCCTAGGGACTCTTATCGTAACTTCAGGATGTGGCAGAACAAACCCAGCTGAGAAATGTACTGCCACCCATCAGAAAGATAAACACTCACAGAAATTATCCCCTTCTCTAAACATTATATAATAAATAGGACATAAAATAGAATCTCTGATGCACGTAATATTTTCAGCTTGTTTTTAGGATCATGTTATCATTTTAGCAACCATTTAAGTGGCACTCATAACCAAACTACAATAATAAAGTATGTGCCATCAAGTCAAAGAGAACTCGTTGCAACAGAGAGACAGAAGGATGGGACACACTGTATTTATAGCTTCGTAAACAACTTTTTTCAGGAATCAAAGACCTAGAAATATACACAATTGTTGCTACGAACTGAATTCCTATTCCTTTCTGTTGTTTCAATATTTTTCAGGAATCAAAGACCTAGAAATATACACAATTGTTGCTATGACTGAATTCCTATTCCTTTCTGTTGTTTCCATTTATTTATTTATTTGATTTCCTATTAGTGCCAAGGAACTACTCTGGGTTTACAATAAAAGCAACACAGAACAGAAATAAAACTACTAAAACCCATTAACAAATAACCACCACACCACATTTCTAATACATGTCATTTTCCCCACTGCTGTTAAACATTATTTGTTGTACATAATTCTGTGATGCTTTTAAGGAATCTTTTAAACACTGTACAGTTCTGCTCCATGGAGTAAACACACACACAACGTCTGTGTGCATTTTTCTTCTCCCTTCTACATGGGAAATCTCTTTACAATCCATCCAGTTTGATATGAGCATAGTTTGAAGGGATATACTGGTCAGGAATTCTGAGGCTGTAGTCCGAAAAAGT